AGAAGGATAAAGACATAAACAACACTAACAATGTTTCATCTCAAACACACACACTTCCCAATACTCTCCACTCAACAAAACCCTGAAGACAACCTGCAACCAGTTTCAGGTTCATAATTTTCTGCAGCCAGTTGTCCTATAGCAGAGAAGCTTTGGGTGAAATTTATTTCTCTATTGCTAATTATAAGTTGTCCAGAATTGAAGCACATCTCTGCGTCCAGGAGCCCCACTCCTCCACGTTGACCTTTTAGTGCCTGAATGCCGCTGCTGCAGACTAAATGAGCTGCTGAATGTGACAAAGCAAACCGTTTCCATCAGCCAGACGGAGGGACAAGGCGACAGACGTCGGAGTCGGTGAGGCGAGAGCAGTCCTCGTGTTAATGAACAGCTCTGCTGGACGCCTGACACTGATTGCTGACACCTCCTCCTGCCAAGCCAGTAATGGCTGCCTCGGCCTCCAGGGCCCTCAGGTGACAAATCCCAGCCTTTGGCAGGCCAGCCCCATCGGAAACTCGCTCCGGACGAGAGCTTGGCGCTGAATTACGCAGCTGGGAACTGTTGAACGTACCAACTGTACGTACAGTCTCATCTAAATGTGTGATTATGGCACAAAAACAGCTGAAAAGCTGCATGACCTGAAGAGCCTGCAGCGGATGACTACATGGTTTATTCCTCTCTATATCTGCTAACACACCTTCTGTTTTGAGGTGACTCAACACTAAATGTACTTTAAATGCTTTGCCAAAGATAAAGTACTGGGTTTGGTGGATTGTTTCTGAGCTTCTGCAGCAAAGACACAGTGGTTCTGACAACACAAGGTACCAATACATGCAACTTTACAGGATTCTGCTGCGTCATGCAGTGAGCCAGGTGGATTTATGGCAAGATGATGTGAGAACAAAATGAGAAAACCTTCATCAGGATGAACCTGTTTTGGTTCCTTGGGCCAAAGATTGAGGGTCATTTAGGGCTGTGGGGTCAGAAGGGCGATCATGCAGGAGGGACTCCGAGTTGCTTCGCCACAAAGAGGATCTGTTTGGGTTTTATCAGGCACCCAGTCAGGACGCCTCCTCAACGTCTCCCTGATGAGGAGGAGACCCACAGGAAACGCCGGAGGAACTGCGTCTCCCTGCTGGCCTGGGAACGCAGGGATGGGTGTTTGTTAGCTGTTAGCAGAATGAAAACACCTAAAACATGAGAAACTGATCCATCTGTAGCGCTCTCTTCATGCTTTCATTTAGCTTTTCTTGTAGTGTGAAAAACAGATTTTTGGCTCAGATTTTCCTTCCTGACCTCCTTCTTGTGTCATTAATGCTTGAGGTAGCTTGACATTTATTCTAATTTTCCACTGTGAGGCAGCTGGTCGGGGAGTTGCTCTCTCTCTCCCTGCAGGCAACAATAAGTTGCTGCTTAGAAACCGGGTCAACCCGTCTGATTTCGTCTCTTCTGTAAACACAGACAGAAGCTTGTGAAACAGCGAGATCCTTTCACCCAGTGACGTTTCATCATTACGCCTTTGGTTCGGTTAATAACTTCAGAGTTGGGCAGACGAACTCGGCTGATTGATGGATGAGCTGCGAGTTGGAGGAACGCCGCTGATTGATGAGCGACGGACGTCCTTTAGGATGATTGATCAGGCTGATCGTCCTCAGGAACAGAGGTGAAACTCTGTTTCTGGAGTCTGCTGGTTAAATCTGCATCCATTTCTCTGAAGTAATAATTCAGAAACGGCAGTGACAGTCCTGCCCGTCTTTGAGACGGACTTTGAGACAACTCCACTTGTTAAACCACTAAATGCACGTTGGGGTCGGCCTGTGGGTCCTGCACAGGAAACAGTGTTGGTCATTTCAAACAGCTGATGGATCTGCAGGTTCTTCTAAAACTGCTTTGTGAAAGTAAACTGTTGGTGGCAGAGATTTAAAAACAGCCTTTTAATGTTCGAGGAGCTGAAAGTCCAGATGTTTAGACAGAAAACATCTGGATATTTTTACAAAATACCGATGCTAAAGATGGGATAGTTAGAGATAGAAAAAAGTAATTTGACACCAAAAGAATTTCAGGAAATTTCCAGAAAAATCAAGAACATTCTGAGTTTGAAAAGTCAAAAATGTGCAAGAAAACAACTCAAATTTTGAGATTAGTTTCAGAAATGTAGAAAAAAAAGACAAATTAGAAAAACATTGACAACCCAGTGTGATGCAGTGTGATGTTATTGGATCAGTTTTATTTCTATCTCAGCTTTATTGAGGTAGAAATCCTTCATTTCAGCTTGAAATGAAGGATTTGATGTGAATCATCCAACAGCAATCAGAAACATTGCGTTGATAATTCCACAGATATTGAATAATTCAGAGTGAAACAGATTTGATGCGATCTTTCATGAGAATCTCCTGGTTTGTGACTCGGCAGCATTTTTCTCATTGCTGCACGTCGGTGACGCCAACAGCTGCTGAGCTGCATCGTTTCCTGACTGGCGGTTCGTCCAGCCGTTGAGTGAAACCGTCCTGCAGGGTCAGCGGGTCTCAGTGTGAATATTCCTCCTCCGCTGAGCTGTCGGAGGAACGGCGCTTTCTGCTGGCATCGCGTCAAAGAGCTCCAACCTCTGACCAAAACAGAGCAATGATTCATCAGCCACAAAACCCACAGAGAGGCCAACTGGCCACTAGGAGGCGTTTTCTCTGGAACAGGACAGCTTGAATCCAGGGAACACAATTAAAGGATAATCATTTCTTTCATAAAATATCCACATCATCATAAATCTTTGCAGTCATAAAAGCAGTAAATGTAGAATTATGCAAAGGCTCTGGGCTTGTTGGGGTTTTAATTTAGTCAGTTTCACAGCAAATTTTGCTGATGAAGCAAAAGTTTGGTGTTTTTTTTCCTTCGGCTGTTTTTCCCAGCAGGTCAGAGTTGTTATAAAAACCTCCTCAGTGGCTCTGATAAAGGTCACGCTTTAACGTCTGTCTGCAGTCGTTACCGCGCCTCTGCTCTGCTTTGCATAAATCTGAGGGATTTATCCGTCAGAAATGCAGAGTGGGCTCTGGCTTTATTGAATCTCAGCCATAAATTGTTTGTTAGGAATCCTCCAGGGACCATCTGGGCCGGGGAGCCCGTCAGAACCGGGCCTCGGCGCTAACACATGGAAAGTGAGTTATAGAGGACGAGCCGATGACCTGAAGCACAGAAAGCTTTGGGTAATTCTTGTGTTCGGTCCGGTACCTGAGAACTGAGTGACCATAAATAGACTAAATTAAAATGAGATGCTGTAATATTTTACATAATATTATTATTTTACATAATTTTAAATAATTATTATTTTTATCCATTTTAGTTTCGCTTATTTTAGTGTAACAGCTGAGTTTAAGTTTAGGTTTTTATATGATTTTTGTTTAGTTTATTATATGTTCATTTTGTTTTAGCCTAGTTTTTGCCCTATTTTACATCATCTCAGCTCATTTTATTTATTTCTTTGTTTTGTTCATCGTCATTTAGCTGATTTTAACTTTTCTTATCTTCACCAATTTGATTGTGTAATTTGATTTATTTGTGTTTCTGACCCTTAAAAGTAAATTTAATAATTTTTTTAACCTTTGTTTTTTTTCTTTTTATGTATTTTTAAAGCTGTTAAACTCATAATAAGCAGATCATCATCATCAGTTGTGTCTCATGCTGCTGCAGGTTGCAGGCAGGTCTCTGCAGTGTTTACACTTCACTGGACTGAAAGAACAGAAAACCTGTAAATAGGAGAAATATTCAGATCGGACGTTTTAAGGGCCTCTGCATTATTTACTGTGGCTGCAGGTTTTGGTGACTGACGGGTCCAGAAATCTTGCTGAGCTTTGAGAAGAGGCAGAACTGAGACTTTTTGTCTTGCTGTCGTCTCAGAGACGGACAGGAAGCGTTTCCCTCTGGATGTCCGTCCCCTGGATGTCTCCTTCGTTCACACTAAAAGCTCGGTTACTTCTGTCCGAGTTCGGGGTTCGGTCCAAACTCCGTGTTTCTCCTTTGGTGTCCCGGTGGCTGTTTCTCTGCAGGACGGCCCTGACTGCCAGTCACGGCTCAGATGGGATCCTGCGCTCCGTTTATTTGTTGATCATTTTAATATTTTGGATCTGGATCAGTTCAGGGTGAATGTTCCTCTTATCGTTCACTGACTGTTTGGGAAATTGCTCCCTCTGGGTTTAGACGCTGTGAAGCTGGAAGGTTTTTTGCTCTTATTTAATTTTGGACAGCTGTTAAGATGCGGAACCATGGAAACATTGTATAGTTTAATAGCTGAACTAAGACCCCCGAATCCTGAAAAGGAGCTTTATGGATGCATCACCATCTGCACATGTTTAACTTCCCTTTGGGATAAATTAGTATTTTTTTATTAATTTGGTAAAATATTTGACATTAATTTTGTGATTTCAGCCGAACCATAAAACTGTTTTAGGTTCCATCATTAAAGCTTTGCTGGTTTTTCACTGCATGTTTTTATTCATTTTGTTGTTTTTGCTGCGTGTTGCTGCCTGTTATTGAACCATTAAATGAATGTAGTTCAGGCTGGTGTTTGCTGGTTAAACTGGTAACCCTGCAGCTGGTTAAACTGGTAACCCTGCAGCTGGTTAACTGGTAACCTGCAGCTGGTTAACTGGTAACTCTGGTCGTCATCTCACTGACGGATGTTTGGTTCCTTTAACTGATCGTCCTGCTCGGTTTTCATCTCAGTTTGAAGAACCGGTCGGTTTTATTTATTGGTGTTTTTACAGCGGACAGCAGGAGGCAGCAGTGTGCAGAATCTGCACCTCCTGGTTCCCTTTCATGGTGTTTAGTTTAAAAAACAAAACTAGTTGTACTGTAGTCTTATTCTAGGAGGAAACGGTGCCCTCTAGTGGCAGAAGCAGCAAACTCGCTGCCTGTCTGAATACTTCTTGCTGTTTTTATGCTGATTTATCCTCCAGATAATTTGTAACTCATCAGTTTAGTTCTGATCTGCTGTTTGTTTGGTTTCTCTGCAGGTTTCTAATCGTTCTGGGATGTTTGATTCTGGCCATACTGACCACATTCAGGGAACACGAGAAGGATTCTGCACACTGGCTGGTCATACTGGTGAGAACGACTCCACAGAAAACACACACACACACACGCACGCACGCACGCAGAGTGAGTGAGCCTGTTTCCTCTGCAGGAAACGTTTGCCATCTTCATATTCGGAGCAGAGTTTGCACTGAGGATCTGGGCGGCTGGTTGCTGCTGTCGCTACAAAGGATGGAGGGGGAGGCTGAAGTTCGCCCGCAAACCGCTGTGCATTCTGGGTAAGCAGGGGGAATCATAAATATGTTAATTTTTAAAGATAAAATTAAAAGGCTCAGGAAGTCATTCATAAAGCTCCAAGAAACACAATGATGATTATAAAATGGCTGAAAGCAGCCAGAGTGAATCAGGCTGACAGGAGTTTTGTCAGCAGCTTTTCAGAATAAATTTCCAGTAATTGGCCAGAAATGCTCCCCTGGAAGAGGCTGCCCTTCACTTTCTGTGACTGTCAGGAAGCCTGGAGCTGCTGGAGGCATCAAACATCCTCAGTTTGTCCAGAGCTGCTTCAGCCACTGAAGAGCCGAAACGCCTGATGAGTCTGGCAGCTCTGAGCAGAAACCAGGAGACGATAACGACCAGAACTTCCTCTGGGTTTGATCGATTATTAACGATCAAATTGCACAGAAAAAAACAGTTTAAATTAAATTGAATCATTTTCCCTTCAGTTTAACAGGAGCATTAAACTCTCAAAAATCAAGATGGAACCGTCGACCTCAGAGCTGAACCTTCGGAGACACATAAAGACAATCACAAAGTCGGTCTTCTGTCTCCTGAAGAACATTTTAAGGACTAATGTCTTAAAATACTTTATTGCCTCTGAAATTCACCAGAAAGTTTAAGAAAGCAAAACTAAAAGCCAGCATAAACACAAAGAGTCCAGAGTTTCATCTGGATCAACTTCCAGGTAAATGATGATTTTCTCTGAATCGTAACGACATTCAGAGAGCAGCTGAATCCCATTTTATCAATCCATCATCATTTAAACTTAATCGTTTCAACACTTCTGCCATCTGTGTTTAGGATTATTTGAGACTTAAATTAGAGCCTCTGCAGACTCCAGCGGCTCTTTTCTCAAGGTGAGCTGTGAATAGAAGAGCGTCTGAATTAATCAAACTAAATCAGTTTTTAGTCAAGTCCTGGCAGAGATTAACATCTCTTGAAAAATTGTCTCTTTGACCAACAAACTGGTGTTGGGGTCAAACTCATTACCTCGTCAGACAAACTCTGGTCCTTGTGCTCCAGACATCTTCGTGCTGATCGCCTCGGTGCCGGTGGTGGCGGTGCGGAACCAGGGCAACGTGTTGGCCACGTCGCTGCGCAGCCTGCGCTTCCTGCAGATCCTGCGCATGCTGCGCATGGACCGGAGAGGCGGCACGTGGAAACTCCTGGGCTCTGCCATCTACGCTCACAGTAAGGTACGACTGGAGAGACTCAGAGGGAAAGCAATGACAGAAAACACAGAAAGGAGCTTCCAGGAATCACAAAAAGACTCAATTTAAACTCTTTTGACCATTATTGGTTTGGTGAGATCCATCTCATCCACTAAAACGGTGAATAAAAAGTCCTAAAGTGATGTAACAGCATCATGTTTTCAGAGTTAATCCCTGTTATCCAGTTATTGATCTGCATGCTAATCTGTGCTGACTGCCTCTGTGCATCATTTATGGATCTTTAAGACATAACCTGTCGCACAGAGACGGTTTAATCACTTCTCTCAGGTTAAAGCAGTCAGGAGGAAGGAGAGCGTGTCCTTCTCGGTGCGTCTGCGCAGACCGGCCTGATGGTCTGTGTTTCTGCAGGAGCTGATCACGGCCTGGTACATCGGCTTCCTGTCTCTGATCCTGGCCTCCTTCCTGGTCTACCTGGTGGAGAAAGACGACGGCTCGGTCAACGTGTCCGACCAGGAGAACCCGACGGCGCAGACCCAGCAGCAGGACTTCGATACGTACGCCGACGCGCTGTGGTGGGGGCTGGTGCGTTCGCTGCGGCTGAAATAACTGTTGGTTTTTGATTTCACTGGAGAAATCTGGATACTCCAGTGAACATGTAAATGAGAACAGCTTTGGTGATGATATTGGTGAAATAAAGTATCTGATATGTTTCTCTCCGCAGTAGAAATAATGTGGAAGTTCTGCTGTAATGAAGGCTTCGGGTTTAGAAAGCTTTGATTTTCTCCTCATTAAATCCGCCGTCCTTCCAGCCAGACGTTTTCCTGTCGGCTGTGGATCTTTTCAGGTTTCTGATTTATGTCTCTTCTGCAGATCACGCTGACCACCATCGGTTACGGAGACAAAACCCCGAAGACCTGGGCAGGGAGGCTGTTAGCCGGCACGTTCGCGCTGATCGGAGTTTCCTTTTTCGCTTTGCCTGCTGTGAGTGTAGAGCTACGATCATTAGCATGGCTGCAGATAATGAAGGTTAAATTAACAAAAGGTGAATATAAAAGGACTTTCTCCGGTGGTTTTTACAGAAAACTACATCAACAATTAAAAGAAGGTCAATGAATCAGATCCTCAGCGTTGTTGCCTGAACTAATCCAATGCAAAGTTAAACATATTTTAAAGGAGTTCGGCCACATGAGATCATTTTATTGTTTTTATGAATGTTTTCATGGAGCAGCAGCCTGAACTGTCGCTCTGGTTCTGGCTGCAGGGGATTCTGGGTTCTGGTTTGGCTCTGAAGGTCCAGGAGCAGCACAGACAGAAACACTTTGAGAAGCGCCGCCACCCGGCAGCCGGACTCATCCAGGTCAGAGATGAGACGCAGAACGTGTGCTGTCTGGTTCCTGTGTAACATCAGAATCCTGAAGCTGTTGTGTGTTGCATCCAGTCGGCCTGGCGGTATTACTCCACCAATCCCATCAGGGAAGATCTTATTGCCACGTGGAGATTTTATGAAACCATCATCTCTCTTCCCTGCTTCAGGTACGAAGCTCCATCTGTTCTCCACTGAGCCTTAAAGCTGCAGGTTGCAACTTTTTAAAAATATGTTTTTTATTAAAATATGTTCATGCTGCGTGTTTCAGATGCTGCACTAATTATTTAGATGTTCCCTAAAAGTTCCAGAGACTTTGAGGTTTTTCACAGTTTGAGTAATCCTCCAGGTTTTGTTTATTCTGTGACTTTCTCTCTCTGTCTGGTAGGAAGGACACCTTGGAGGCCATGGTGAGGTAGGTCGCTGAGCTCCTGCAGAGACGCTGTGCCTACAGTAAGGACTTTAATTAGGCCACCAGCTGCAGAGAGAAAATAATGAACATTTCCTAAAATATCCCACCCAGCCTGTCTTCAAATAGCTTCGTAAATTAATCCATGACTCGGATAAATGACTCTGGGAAGAAGTTGATATTGAACGGCCACTCATTCTGTCGCTCTGACTTTAACATTAAGCTGAGGATTTTTGAGAACTTATTAGTGAGTCTATTAGTCCTGACTGAACGATGAGTTCAGTAAGTGAAGGCAGGAATGAGGAGGATTGTTTCCCTTTATCAGTGATGAGTTCCTTCAGCCCATAAAATGTCAAAATTACACTGAAAATATTTGAAAATAAAAAATGCTTTTAATCTCTTCTGTGTCTGACATGTTCAGATTTACTGTTGAAACTTATTTTATTCTCGTTCTGAACTCGTCTGAGTTGCTACTGAGTGATTGGGTGGGTTTCTGATGAATACCTGATAAATTGATCGGTGATTTTTGGTGTTAAAGTCTTTCTGAGTCCATCTCCTTCCTCAGCTGTCATCGTTTATTCTCCCAGCTCCTCGTTAGTTTTTCATTTTCTGTCACACTGCTGGGAAAAACCTGCATGAATTTTCAGAACACAGAAACTAAAAACATGCGATCCTGAACAAAGACCCGGAGACGGATCTGGGTCGGACTTTATCTGTGGCTTTGAGGGAAGAGGTGGACTTCATCCAGAAACTGCAGCAGCGCTGGGAGCTTTGGGCTCTTTGTGATTTCTTGCTTTTCTCCTCAGTTTGTTGTCTAATCTGGGATCTTTTCCCTGCAATGTGAACAGAAAATGATCCTCCATCTGAGAGCAGGATGAGCGTTTTGCTGCTTGCTGCCAGCAGATCCTTTCAGATCTTGTCCATCCCGGTTTATTGTGGTTTCTTTTATCTCTATGAAGTTTAATCTTGTTGGAAATAAGCACCAAACTTTGGGTCTTGGAGTATCTGAGCTTGTTTTTTCCTGCTGTTGTGTCACCTCGTTTAGAGAGATCTGGGGATAATCACATCCCATTTTCTGCTCTTTATTCGCCGAGGAGCGTTCAGAAAGAAGACTCCCCCTTCCTTTAAAGCGTTCCCTTTCTGCAGCCTCTCAGCGCTGTAATCTGCTGTCCCTTTCTGCCCTGAGGCCACATAGAGGCTCATATTGTGTCTGCTGTGGGAGCAAAGTCGCTGGGAGCGCTCCACGTTTCAGAGGCCTCGTTTGGGCCGCTGGCGGCTCCAGTTACTGCTCCACCTCCCCGCCTCTTCGAAGGGACACAGGAGTCTTATTTTACCCAGAAAGCTGCGTCTTTGTGCTGCCAAATATTGTCACAGGACCAATCTCCTTGGGTTCTTCGCCGCTCCCCTCAGCCTGATGCGCAGCTCATGCAGAACCAGCAGGTGTAAAATAAAAGATGTTTCAGTTTGAAGCAGGAATCCTAACATGCAGGTTGTGGTCAACACCTTTTTCTCCTTGTTCATTATTGTCAGCATAACACAATGAAAATACTGAAGATTTGATGTCCTGTTCCTTTCCTCTCCACCTCAGTCAGAAAGTGAGTTTGCTGGAACGTGTTCGTAATTCCAACGCCAGGCCGTCGTTGGGGATGGTCAGGAAGCCCGCGGTGAACGCCGAGTCCATCGAGGAGAGCCCCTCCAAGGAGCCCAAACCCGCCGGCTTCAGTAACCGCGAACGCTTCCGGACCGCATTCCGGATGAAGGCCTACACGCTGCGCCAGAGCTCTGAAGGTCAGAGTGCCAACCGCAGGAGAACGTCTCTGACAGCGGTCAGTTTACTTTGTGCTGTTTGTCTTCCAGATACTGGAGGCCTTGCAGACCCAGTCTTAGAGGACCGGGGCTTCCCGCCAGAGATCCTCCTGGAGGAGATGATCCCGACTCTGAAACTGGTCATCAGGGCAGTCAGGTCCGGAGTAATCACTCTCACTTTCCAGCAGTCCTGAACTTTGAGCTTCGATCTGTTAAAACAATCCTCCAAAGTCCAGAGAGAAAACCTGAAAAGGTCTTTGCCGTGTTTCCACTACCCATAAACTACCCACTATCGTATGATAGTTTATGGATCGTATGATAGTTTATATCCTGTAGAGAATGTTTTCACCACCAGTTGGACTTTAACTGGGCGGTTTGGGTTAAACCCAAACACCTAACGCTTCGTCCTACTACAGCAATAACAAACAGGAAGAAAACCGTTTCCTGGCCCGATCAAAGGACTGTGTTGTAGCTCTGCTCATTTTCCCGTAGACCTACAACTGAAGGTCTCCAGGAATGGAGTGGTACGGACGGTTGCATGGGCCGCTTACAGACAAACTTGCATACCACGCCGCTCTGACCCATGCCAAACCGTTCAGCAGAAACAATATTAGAGAGCCTGTAGAAGCAGTGACCAGCCACTTCAGAATAACAGGAAGGTCTGACAGTTTGGAAGGGAATTACAGAGTCATCCGTCCATCCCATCTCTGTGCTAATCTCTAACGGTCATTGGTGAGACGGGAGGGACAGCCTGGACAGGTCACCAGTCCATTACAGGTCACGATCCTGGACTCACCCTGAAGACAATTTAGACCCACCAGTTAGTCACTATCACTATGGGAAACCATTCATGCACAGGGAGAACATGTGGATTTCATGGAGAAAGACCCAAAGCTGGATCATGAAACCAGAGTCTGTAGAAAACACCAACAGTTTTTAACCTGATCAAATGAGATTATGGTCATGACCTGCACTGCCTGCATGTCAGAGGTTTCCTTCTGCCGAGTTTCTCATCACAAAGACAAGGAGCCCAGAATCAGTGAACTCTAAAAACCATGATGTTTATCTTACTGTCCTGAAATAAAAGTTTGTTTTAGGTCAACATTTTGCATAGATAGCCGTCTATTCTGTCCTACCTTGGCACGTTGCAATAATCGGACAGTATTATATCAGTTCCACTGTATCACCAGTAAGATCTTTATTTTTATCATAAGATAAAACAAGTAGCAATGTAATAGGTCTGCAGGTCTGAGCATGTGTGCTCAGTGTGACTTTTCTTTCAGCAATGCAAAGCTGGATGTGTCAGTGATGTAAACCAGAGCTCACACGTTAGCAGTCTCCTCTATAGGCCACACAGCTGGCATAATGCAGGAATCCAACCTATGATGAGTGATTAACCCTGTGAAAGCACTTCTTCCTCCACCCCATTATGCTGGGCCTGAATGACTCCCTGAAAGGGGAACTCAGACACCAAGGGTTTTGGTTTCAGGACCCCCAAGACTTTCTGCCAAACAGCGGAGCTCCTGCAGCAGCCGAGGACTCTGGGAAGAGCTGAAGATAACAGCTCAGTGGGTGGCAACAGGTCTCAAAGACCCGATGGATGATGGGACTGAACTCAAGTAGGGAAAGTGTGAACACCAAAGGAGCCGGTGTACGATTTGCCTGTAATGAGCCGGTAGAAACAGGAGTTGCTGTCAGGTGACTGATCAGTAAATGGCATTTTGTTGGGCTGGACTTGGATGTAAGCCAGTGGTTTCAGTCCCAGTCCTCAGAGACCCTGCATGTTTTAGGTGTGGCCTTTCTTCATCCAGTCATTTGAATCAGGAGTTCCTGAACAGAGACTCAGATATGCAGGGCAGTGGCCCCTGAGGACCGGAAGCACCAGCTTAAACCAAACTAGAAGAATGCGTGCACCAAGAGTGGCCGAGAGTTCAGTTTGTCTGAACTCTGATCGCTTTACCAGGCAGTCCTTCAGATGAACATTATCCACCTGACGGCTCCGAGTTCAGACTGAAAGGAGTGCCACCAGTACAAGAACAGGACTGAGCAGATCCAGACTGCTTGTTTTATTACTGTTCCCTCCGGTCCAGTCAAAGTCAACATGTTTAATTTGCTGCTCTGTCTGCATTACAACTGCGGTGGTGAGACATGGATCTTGACCGAAGAACAAGACATAAAGTATCTGGGATGACCTCTCTCTGTACAGCAAAAAGCTGAGATCCAGAAGTTTGGGAGTTTTTAGTCGTTTGGTGTTTGAGGCATCCGATGCCTCTGACATCTTGTCCTGGTGGCTTTGGGGCATTTCCTCCTTTGCAACCAACTCCAGGGCAGATATTGAACTTTCATCCTATATCTGAACAATGACCAGCATTCAAGGACATCAAAGTTAGGTTTGTGAATTGCCCTCAGTGTTTGCTTTACCCTGTGATGGATCACTGCCCTGTCCAGGGTCCACAACCCTTTGGCCCAATGACTGTTGAAGATAGAAACCCGTCCCCACAATGGGCGGATGTCCTGAGGTTTTGCATGATTCTTGGGTAGTTTGTAGAAATCTCTGTCTGTTTTAGTTGGTGTAACTAGTTGGGTAAACTCCAGAAAAGCTTCAACACATGCAGATATGTTGATCTTTGCTTCGCAGGATCATGCAATTTCTCTTGAACAAGAAGAGGTTTAAGGAAACTCTGAGGCCTTACGATGTCAAAGATGTGATTGAGCAGTACTCAGCTGGACATCTAGACATGCTCTGCAGAATTAAATACCTCCAGACCAGGTGAGCAGACACAACGCAGAGGAGTAAATCTGGCCTCATATGTGCCGTGCTCAACCTGTTTCTTCTCTAAAGGATCGACATGATTCTTGCCCCTGGACCCCCCCTCACCCCAAAAAGCAAGAAGCCCCAGAAAACACCCTTTAACTACCCATCCAGCCAGTCACCCAGGTACTGCCACACCATCGCTAACGTTCTAGCATGTCATGGCGGCACCATCTTAATGGACTTGTTTGTTTGTTTCAGGCATGAGTCTTACTTAGCCAAAGCCACGTCCATGCCAGACACTGAAGACCAAAGCATGATGGGGTAGATTTGTCAGGGTGGAGAGGCAGGTGAGAGAATATAACAGTCTGGATATAGCTTCCCATCTGTGGACTCTGCTGTGTTTGTGTTGCTTTTCTATTATTTTGTTGTGTTTTTATTGGTTGATCAACTAAATTCATTCGTAGTTGAAGGTTATGAAAACCTTTAAATCCATGAATTTCTTCTCTTTAATGAGGAATAAAACGTATTTCTGTTCAGAAGGAAGCGGCCGGCCATGTCCTTCCTGGTTCTGAGCTTTGGTGTTGGCGGGTCGGTTTCCTGAGCTCATGGATGGATGTGTCTCTGTCTCAGGTGGAGGACATGGAGAAGAAGCTGGACTTCCTGGTGGACATGCACATCCAGCACACCGAGCACCTGCAGGTGGACTCGGCCGGCGACGCTCGGATGACCCTGGAGGCCTGCGACCAGACGGCGAACGGTGAGATCCGCCGGGTTTTCCTCAACTACTCCGAGGTGTTCCCTCAGATGTCATACCAGGTGCCTGTCAGCAAAGCGAATTCGACCTGCAGCAGAGGGCGAGGCGGCAGGCAGGGGGTCGGGTTGGCAGGCGGCGCGGCGCCGGCCGCCATCCCCACGTACACAGAGCGGCCGACCGTGTTGCCCATCAGCTCCCTGCAGGACTTGTCGGCGGGGCGGGGCAGGACCACAGGGGCCCTGGGGGGCGACTCGCCGCTCTCGCTCCTGTCGGTGAACCACGAGGAGCTGGAGCGCTCGCCCAGCGGGTTCAGCATCTCCGGGGAGCGGGAGGGCGAGGCGGGGTTGGACCTGTCGATGGGGGCGGCGGTGGCGGCCGGGGAGGCCAGCTGGACGAGAACCAGGCCGAGCTACTTGGCCGAGGGCGAGACGGACACGGACACAGACCCCTTCACGCCCAGCGGCGGCGCCCTGCCCCTCTCCTCCACCGGCGAGGGGTTCGGGGACGCAGAGTGGAACACGCCGCCCTGAAACACGACGCCACCTCGACTCAGACCTTAAATCCAACCCATGCCTCTAAAACCCAGAACGCTGGGTCAAAGCCACAGCTTTGGGACGAAGGTGGGTCTGATCCCCTCGTTGTTCTGAACGACCGGCTGTCGACCTGCAGAGGCCGCCGCCGCCCAGGCGGCGAGTCCGCACCTACGGCAAAACAAAAAAAAAAGGGAAAGCAGAACGTTTGTAAAGAAAAAACTCTGTACAGCGCACTCTTCACAAAAATTTAGCGAAAAAAAGAACGTAATACATAATATATACACCCAAAAGCTTTACTGCTGCAAAGCCAACCGCACTGCATGTGACGCATGCGACGTTTAGTGTAGACACTGCAAATTTCAGGATATATCAGGAAAAAGAACAGAGATTGAATGGAAACTTATACCTGCTATGCCATTTTGTAACACTTATTTTTTATATGAAGACATCCTTGTTTCTGCATGGTTTGCATGATGCTGCACCATTCCTGGGGCGACCACTAGAGGGCGACACTGGAACCAAAAGTCTCCTGTCTGTCTCGTTGTTTGTCCAACCTTATATTTATGTTGTTTTGTTTTTGCTGGACGTCAGCTCAGATTTACAAACTTACAGTCAGAAAATATTTGAAACACTAAATTTCTGCTGTTTGCTGGCACATGGATTCAGGGATATGAACCGTCTCTCATTTCATTCAACAGGTTCATCATAATGTTGGCCAATATGTACAATATAAAGACATATAAACAAACTGCTAGGTATTTATACCCCTTTGCTTTTCCCATGTTTAGCCAGATTTAGTGAAGAATTCTGGAAAAAAAATATTCCATAATGTTATTGAACTATTTTGTAAAGTTGCAGTAAATGTGAAGGTTCAGCCTTTAGAGGTTTATATGTTTTCACAGGTGATAAATTCAGCTTCATGGATGACATTAAATATTTTAATTGAATTAATTACAGGCTCTGAAATTAATAAATTGTTTAATTTAAACCCGTATATTGACAGAATAAGCAACAAATTCTCTTGAAAACCCATTTTTGCTGCTAAATTATGAAATAAGTAGAAATATGGGCTCAACAACTAAGATATTTATAGTTTTTAATCAGTTATTTAGTTTATTAAACCATCAGATTTGAGCAAAATGTATTTCTGTCCAGGAAGTCCTAGACTGTGGATGCTAACATTAGCATTAGCTGCTGCATGTTTAGCATAGACATGCTATTTTAGGCTAGCATAGCCTCCCTGACAGGCTAACTCCTTTTAGCACAACTTGAACACAACAACAGTCTTTTCCAACATCCAATCAGGTCATTTATACAGAAGTTGAACCCAGAAGGCCGCGGGAAGCGGCTTCGTTGTCCATCGCTGCTGTTAGCGGATGTAGCATGTGCGTCAGACTCACAGGTCAGACCGGGAACATGCAAACACTTTTCACAGTGCAGAACAAAGCAGAAAGGGTTAGGGTTATGAACTTATAAACATGTAGAGAAAAACCAGGAACATCTGAGGCTGTAAAGACTAAAGAATCCTGTCAATGGAAACTTTGGGAAGTAAAAGAAAACATTTAAACATCTTTATAAAAGCTGTTTTAACCTTTCCCTAAAATGACCCCAAACAGAGAAATAGAATTAATTCAAATTTATTTTGGATTGTCTGAATAATTTATTGTCTCAGTTTCTGATTTATAGGAAGTGTTGCTCCATAAACCTATTTCTGAAACGTAAACAGCTTTAAAAAGTTAAATCTGAAGGTTTTTAAAAGTTTTCTAATGTTGCCGTTCTGAACTCTGAGGTTTTTTCTTGCTAAAGACAAAAATTTTAGTGGGATTTTATGATGAAGCAACACAAAGTGAAGAGGAAGGAAAGCAATGCTTTGCTTTCAATTTTCTATAATAAATAAGTCAATAAATTGTAAAAAGTGGAATGAATCCTGTAATATCTGCCTAAAGTGGAACAATAAAGTTGTAATTTTACTGCGATTAGCTGGTGCATGTTTTAAAATTTTATTCTCTTGACTATTTTTGCTATCAATGAAAATAATCCACTTATTAATAAAGTATTTAAATCTGCTGCTTCATCTTTTTTATATATTTTGAAAAGTTAAACAGTTAAACTTATTATATGATAAATAAATGGATATTTAGCGTTGTTATGGAGCTGTTTGAATTGCTCTGAAATGGTTCAAAATCATCTAAATATACTGGGCCTTAATAAATATAGTGTAGGAAATGTTATTCATCCTACTTTGCAATAAGACATTTATATATACTTAAAGTTCTTATTTGTAATTAAATCTTATTCTATTTGTAATTTTGAAATCTGGATGTTCTGAACAACCTGGAAACATTTTTAGGCCTGAACTGCTTTTACTACTTTACCTGTAGAATCACAGATTGTGATGCAAAACCTGATCAAACTTGAGTTATCACTTCTTATCGCATGTTGAAGCAGATCATACTCACCAAATCTCTGCTCTGCTTTATGACTATAAACTCTATTTAATAATCTAACTCTGTGTCGACGGTTTTCTATTTTGAAGCGCCGTACATCTGCTGTATGTTTTAAAAAGAAAATGTAGATTTAATTGGGAAAAGCAAAACTGCTTGGAGGTGAATTCAAACTGTTTTTTGAGCCGAAAGAAGATGTTTCCTCAGTTTGTCAAGAATTTTATAACTCATAGGGAATAGTTTGAATTTAATGGGGTTGTGTGGAGTAGCTATAAGTAGTCAGTTTTTAGAGTGACTTGTTAAGCACAGCTAACTCTTAGGCTAACTGTGAATCTGTCATGCAAACCGTTGATTTAGCTATCAAGCTAACAGTCTAATTGTAAAAGCTAACTGTTTATCTGTTATACTAACTTTCTGTCAATCTAATTGTCATGCTAACACTCAATCTTATTGTCATGGTCTAATTACCATGCTAACTGTTAAGCTGGCTATGAAGATATACATGAGGTAGCGGTAGCAGTATGAATTAGGCTAACTGTTATGCTCATAATAAATATCTGTCATGCTAACAGGACATTAGCAGGTCAGAGTTTGATGTCTACTGTTTAACTACTGACCTCAGTGTTGAGTTATAAGCAAGACAACTGTCAAGCAAATGGAAAATCCACAGCTTTCAAGCTAACAAGCAAGATATATGTCAAGCTAGCAGTTGGGCTAACAGTCATGTGGTCAGATTGACTGCCTGACAACTTATTTCCAAGTTAACGTTTGTTGTAACTGTGGAATCAGTAACCGGCTAAGCTGACAATCAAGCTAAACTTGCAGTTAGCTATGAAGCAAAAAGATAACATTTAATTTCAGAGTTGTGTTCTGCTAATTTTGAAACTATGCTAAACGTTAGAGCATAAGTCTAAAAGTCTCCAGTAGGTAAAGTTTACAGAGGTAAAATCCTCACAGTCATTATTTCATCCTGAGTTGTTTCAGGATGTCAGTTTTGGGCCAAGCTACATTTAGCATCACAAACAAATGAAGGCAGGATAGTAGCAGAGATTTGACTGAAGGAACTGATAAGATACTGACTTCTCATAGATACCTCAGACAAACCCAGCGGTAAAAATTCAAACTGCTCCTTGAAACTCCCTGTTCTGCTTGAAAGTCTGGATCAGAGGCAACGCCACTGAAATGGGAAAGACGTTCTATTATCTGCTTAATCTGCTGTACAACAAATATAATCTGCTCCTCTAATCCACTTATATAAAAACTAAATGTTGGAGGATTAGTTGTCAATGCACAGACAGGATAATCTAATAATCTGTATCCCTGTAGAGATTCATTCATTCATTCATTCATTCATTCATTCATTGTGCCTCCAGCACCGTCCAGAATGATTCAGTCATTCATGATTTAGTGTTTCAGACGCTGAAGTTCAGCCCACAGTTTATGAACATGATTTAAAATCTGGTTTCTGTAAATCCGGTTCTGATGGTTTCTGGTGTTTTCAGACCCAACATGTAAAGTTTTTACTGTTTCTGTTTTTCTTCTTGTTCTGGTTTAAAGTTTTGATGTATTTTCTTGTTCTTTAAAATGTTTTGCACAACAATATCTTTGCCTTGCACTTCAGTTTCAGTTTATAAAACATCTTTAAATGCATGCTGTACTTATTTCTTCCATCTGAAATTCAACATGTGGCTTCCTTTCAAACTGACTGAGCGAAGTATGAAAGCGTCGGCATCAAATCACTGTTGAAATGTATTTTTTTAATTCGAGAAAATGTCTTCCAGGACAGGAAATAAACTGCAAAAGGAATAATGCTACCAAAATTAGAAAATACAAATTTATTACACCTACTGAAAATATTCAGTAATATTTTATATTCAGTAAAAACAGTGCTAGCATTACTTTTTGCAGTGAAAAATTGTCACTTTAATTTATTCTCACTTGAATTAAATCGTGTTTTTATTACGTCAGAAACTTTTGTCCTTTTTTTGCTCTTTTTTTAATTTGTTTCTGCATGTCTCTTTCATGTTATCCAGTTTATCTGGATGAAACAAAAAGTGAAGAAAAAGTCATAAATTCAAATAGTTTAATTCAAACTACCTGTTATTTTAATACAAGCCAACATTTAGGGAAAGTTTCTCCGTTGATGATTTAATGACTTGTAATCAAATTAAAGGCTCTTAAATCAGATTAAACTTTTGTTTCAGCTCAGTTAGAATTACCTAAAATAGAAACAATAATGATAATGTTTCATCTAAATAGTTATTTTATCTATTTTAACAGATATTCTATAAAACATTTATTTTCCTTTCCGTCATCAAATCAAATATTTTCTGTTCATTTTGCTCTGATGTGAAGTTTTTCCCTCGTCATTCATGACATTTTAAATGTTTAAAACCAGTTTTGATTTAAACAGATTTAAAGATAAAATGTCTGAATTTATTCTCGTTTGTTTCTTTGCTGATTAATTGTAACTTGGTTTTTTTGTCATTTTCAGACTGAACATGAGAACTGGATCAATATATTTCATTGATTGGTTTTTAATTTTCCCTTCAAAGTTTCCATTTAAACTTTTGAATCGTTTTCCAGTGAATTCCAGTTTAGTTCCTGTTTAAAAGTCAAACTGGTTTCTGTCCGTTCAGATTGTTTCTGCTTGAGGGAAATTATTTGTTCATTTCTGTTTCTTGGACTTTAATGTTTATTGTTGAACATGTAGAGTTGGAATTGATTTTTTCCATCTGCGTAGTTTTTACATTTTCCACAGATCGATATCTGAACAAACTGTGTTATATCTCCTGCGTCGTTCGGGTGATGAATGAGTGAAACATCTGGACTCATTCATTCATTCATTCGACTCGGATGAATTTGGAAAACATGCTGCTCATATTTCCTTGTTTTGCTGGAGGATAAAAGCCGGCGGATCATTTAAAAAGAAAATCCATGATGGCATCAAACTCGCGCCGTTTTTCTGTGTTAATGTTGTGGATGAAAAGGAGCACTTTATGGCATCCAGGTAGATCTGAGGCAGTTCTGCTCGATGAAACGTTGTTTTCATGAATGTTTGTTTTCCACGGTGCGTTCGGCTCTCAGCCTGTAAACTCACTGGACGTTTTGATTGCTACTGATTATTTGTGCCTTGGCCTTTTGCAGTTATGATTTATCTCATGCTTTTCTCGCTGAGGCCGTCAAACTCCAAACGTAAACCTGCCGCCGTCGTCTGGACCCGGCGGCGCCATCTGGACCCGGCGGCGTTGTCTGGACCCGGCGGCGCCGTCTGGACCTGGCGGCGTCGTCTGGACCCGGCGGCGTTGTCTGGACCCGGCGGCGCCGTCTGGACCCGGCGGCGTCGTCTGGACCCGGCGGCGCCGTCTGGACCTGGCGGCGTCGTCTGGACCCAGCGGCGTTGTCTGGACCCAGCGGCGTCGTCTGGACCCGGCGGCGTCGTCTGGACCTGGCGGCGCCTGTCTGGACCCGGCGGCGTCGTCTGGATCCGGCGGCGCCTGTCTGGACCCGGCGGCGGCGTCTGGACCCGGCGGCGTCGTCTGGACCCGGCGGCGTCGTCTGGACCCGGCGGCGCCATCTGGACCCGGCGGCGCCATCTGGACCCGGCGGCGGCGTCTGGACCCGGCGGCGTCGTCTGGACCCGGCGGCGTCGTCTGGACCCGGCGGCGTCGTCTGGACCCGGCGGCGCCATCTGGACCCGGCGGCGCCATCTGGACCCGGCGGCGCCATCTGGACCCGGCGGCGGCGTCTGGACCCGGCGGCGTCGTCTGGACCCGGCGGCGCCTGTCTGGACCCAGCGGCGCCGGTCCAGACCTGGCGGCGGTGGCGGGACTCTGTCCTGCAGTGAGACGTCCTGCAGCCGCCGTCTCCGTCTCAGGCAGGTTTACATGAGGAAACGACGGCAGCTTCTTCTTACAGAAACATTTTATTAAGTTTAATTTGAGGAATGTTTGGACAATTTCCACTAGTGGCCTTCAGAGCTCTGCATCATTTCATTTATTTCTCATTAGTTTGGAAAAAAAAACTAAAGTTGCTGTTTTGATTCTGTCCTAAAACACTTTGATATGTTGTTTTTATGATATAATATGCAAACGTATTCTTACTTGATTTGTTTTTTATTTTTGTGTTTCAATTGCACCAGTTATTAATAAAGTAATAAACTGAACATTTTCTGAGTGGTTTAATTCTTAATATTTGGAAACTTTGTCTTTTAAACTGGAAACTTGCAGGTTTATAAAACTTTTCTGAACTGTTTTTATTTTTCGGTTTTATTTACATAAATGTTGTTGAATCTTTAAATGTTTATAATCTGAAATATTTAAGTGTTTTTCTGTTCCAGTTCAGGCTGGAATATTAAATATGAAGGAAAATGTTTGTTTTGTTTCAAGCACAGGGCCACAGTGGGGAGAAACGTCTCCGGTTCAGCAGGAATGGAACCTCCTGCTGATCGGATCATTTTATGTTTTGGATCAGTTGAAGGTTCTGGAGAAAACACTTTTTCTTGTTAAATGAAACCAGCAGCAGAACCGGAAAATGATTCTTGGAATCATCTGGTTTATCAGCTCCTTAACTTGCTAACATTTGTTCTGCACTCAGTTCCTGTCAGGTTAACTTCTGGACTTTGACTACACCACTCCAAGGAAACAGCCCCGGTGAAATCAGAACTTTTATTTGGACTCTGTGATGCTGCAGATTTTCATCTTTCCATTTGGATGAAAACTATTTAGATACGACCTGAGTGTCCTCCTGCTCC